TAATTTCAAGAATTATTAATGCATTATCAGCAAATAGAGCTGCAAGCCTAAGTCTAAGACCACAACCGAGCTTTAACGAGTTTATATGACCATTTCCGTAAGCTCTTCCGTCCAAATTATTAGCATAATTATTGTAAGAAGAGACCCACCAGAATTTCCAATTAACAGTTGGATTTTCTTTTTCATTATATCGAGCGAATAATTCATTTAAACGATTGGTAAATGCTATTGCACGTTCGCAGGCATTTTTTTCAATCATATATTTAGCGATAAAGTATAAAGGAGTATATATAGAGAAGCTCACAGCAAGACCAATTCCTCGCATCATCAGAATAAAGATAAGAGACAATAGAAGAGCACCAATACTAGCGATATAATATAATAATCGTTTTGTTTTTACGGACATTAATTCAATATCTTGGACATATTGATTTATCTGTTCAAGTCTACCAGCAAGCTCGTCGCGGGATAAGAAACCATGAAGGTCAAGACACCAATCTGATTTAAATGAATGTCCAGGTTGACAATCAAAGCAACTATTAGATCCATGCAAAAAAAGGGGAATTAATACACGTTTCATAATATAAGATAAATTATATGTTTAAGATGAAGTATTTTTATGCGTAATATTTAAAATGTGCGATATATTTAGGTAATGATGTATGTAGTTTAGAAAAGAGAAAAATTAAGCAATATAAAGGTTTTTTGATTCCAGATGCAAACAATAAAAATTTAGAAGCACTTTTAGTCGAGTGTCCCAATTTAAAATCACTTGCAATAAGAGGTTCCAGACGCTTAAGCCCAAAAACAATTACAAAAATTCCAAAACTGGCTCCTAACCTGGAAACGATAGAAATTAGTAATTATTTGCGGATTAGAAAAAATATAATAGCCGATTTCCAAAAAAGTTTAAAATAAAAATTAATTTATTTGGATAATTATAGTTATATATTTATTCAAAAAACAAACTAATATGAGATTTTATAAATGTCCATATATTCTTAGGTCCGGAGAAGTATGCAATGAAGGGTGCTATCGAGAAGAAGAGAGTAAAGTTCATTAGAAATCTCCTAATCGAGTTCTCTGTATAGAATGCAGAAAATTAACTTCCTCTATTTATAGTGCTTGTAGGAAACATGCAGGTAAATATCACATTCGAGATTTTTATCAGCATCAAAAGCTTGCAAAAATTCAGGCAAATGATGGTCTAGTGATGGGCTAGTGCCAGAGATGTTTTCAGAACCCAAAATATATACATTTATATCACATTATTTTTTACCTTGAGGTGAAAATTATGATTCTATTAGCTTATAATATTAGCATTCATTATATGCTTTTTAGTTTGTTTACATGTGCTTTGCTTTGCTTCACACAAAGGCTTCG